TTATTAAAATCTACTAAATATCTTAATTTCAGAAAAATCAATTGCAGGCTAAATCATCATTATTACAATAGGAAGTTCCTAAACAAAAATCCAAATGCTTTAGCATATGTACCCATACAAAAGAGAGAAAATGACACTAATCCAACGTTAGCATATGTTAGAGTGCAATTTTGGTTGGTAAAATCGGTCAATCAGGATTGCGACACGTGGCTAAATAGATGGCTTTACGCTGAGTTTCTGGAGGCTTCCACATATATTTATGATGGAATGGTCCCTTGGTTAGGAATCAATAGGAGGAGTTTGTTTAATCAGCCACTAAACTTATATCTCTATCACATTTTACTCACTGAATTTTAAAATACTTTTAAATAGTGACCGAACTTTAACACATTGCATTTCATCTCTCACTTACCATATTTCACAAATCACTGAATTTTAAAATACTCTCAACTATTGACTGAACTTTAATATGTTGCATTTTCTCACTTATTCATCATGTTTCATAAGTTAGTGAACTTTAAAATGTTTTTGAGATGTCATTGAATTTCAAAATATTTTTGAGTAAAGTTATTTTTCTACGAAATTCAACCTCGATTAGATACATAGATTCTCAATCTAAGACTAGGATATTAATATTGATCAAGAAAATAATTTCTCTAGTCATTAATAGCTATGTTCAAGGAGAAATAAGAATGCTAACTTCAAATTGACTTAAATCTTAAATTAGATCATAATCTTCCTTTAGGTCGAGAAAATGAGATAAGATAAATTATTATTTTTATTTCAATTGAGATCGTAAACCCAAATCAAGGAAAAAAAAAATTCTAAATCAAGCATTAAACTTTTTCGATTTGAGTCAATTATCTTTATTAAAATTAACAAAATATAATTTTTAGAGCTATCACAAGGTAATTCAAGAGAAAAGAAAGGCATCGTCATCATTTATGATAAATTTCTATTTTTGAATAGTTGGATTCAATGACCACTTATCAACATTTTAAAGTTCGGCGAGTAAAGAGTGAAAAAGTTACAAGTTTAGTGACTAATGAAACATGATGGAGTAAAGCGTGAAGAAGGTACAAATTTAGTGACTAATGAAACATGATGAGTGTATGATAGAGTACATGTTAAATTTCAGTAATTACTCACAAGCATTTTTAAATTCAGTGACTAATGTAAATGGTAAGTAAATGATGGAGTGTAACGTGTCAAAATTTATTGACTACTTGAAAGAATTTTAAAATTCATTGAATAAAGCGTGACAAAGTATAACTTCGGTTGAGATAGTTAAAACCACCCTTTTCTCTCCAGGTTTTCATCACTTCTACTTGCTTTCACAAACAATTAGGTTTTGGGTTTCAACTTTCATAGTGAGAATTTTTGTAAGTAAAAGGGTTCTTTGTTGTCTGATGAACAGTAACTTTCGCACTATGAGAGACGTAGTCTGCTGTGAGGTTTTCCTTCTTTTCTTGACGTCTGGATTTGTAAATTGTGACATTCTTTTGGCTTTGCCGCTTAATTTGAGTCTCGTGCCTAGTGCTAGAGTTTTTATCTCTTAATGGATGCTCAACTGAAGATTGCAGGTGTTAGAAGTGATTATCGAACCTTTGAAAATGGATTAAGTTGTTCAACTCGTTAATATTCCAACTAAAATTTGCTTTAACCTTTTGAATGGATAAGAAGGGGTTGATTATTAGAGCCTCGACACTATCTAATGGTTCATCTTATGTCCTCTTATCAAATTAAAATGACACATTCTTTCGTCCCAACTTCTAAGCAGCATAAGGGTATCTCCAAATGAGACCAAAATACCAAAACGCACAAAATTTTGGTGTAAAATGTCATCAATGTAGTACCAAACTTTGCACCATTTTGTGGTGAATAGTATTACACTATATTTTGCACCAAATGGTGTTTTCTTTTGCCAGGCAAAGTATTATTATTATTATTATTATTATTATTATTATTATTATTATTATTATGTGCATTTAAAATAAATTTTATTAATGTAAAAATAATAGTTAATGAATTAATTAAAATAAGTATAAAAAAATTTAAAATATAAGAAACATGATTATTAAAGTTAACACGAAATATATTAGAACAACCACATATATTTTTATATTTATTAATGAATTTAATATTTTAGTTAATTTAACGTAATTATTTACTTAGCAATTTATATATATGTAAAATAATTAAAGAAATGAATTTTCAAATAAATAAATTGTTAAGAATAAAAGAAATGAAGAAGATGAAAAAACACTATTTATTTGGTGTAATTGTTGAAGATAATTTTTAGTTTGGTGCAATATTTGAAGTAAAATAGTGCAAAACTTACCTCAAATTTTGATGTAGGGTTGGAGATGGTCTAAGGTTCATCTTCTATTCTAACGTCAAGTATCATTTTTATATATGAGAGTTTTTGGGTTTGGGCTCAACAGGATTGAGATTATTAAAGCAGTGATATAAGAGCCTGTTTGTGAGTGATTTTGAGAATTGATTTTTTGACTGTTAGGAGAAAAGTGTGGTCCACCTATGAGAGAAGAAATCAAATACGACGATTGAAATAGTGAAATAACGATAAAAAAATCACTCCCAAACAAACTGTAAAACTCTATAAAAATATTTAAATAAAAAAAGCTAAATACCCAGGGTCAAATTCAGGCCCAAATCCAAGGGAGCCAAGTGGCACTCCTATTGGGGGGTGGGGGTTCCTGGCCAAACAGCACCCTTCTATTTAAATTTGAAAAAATGATTTTGAATTTTAATAGTCAATCATTCCTTCTCAAACTTGACCCCCACCAAAGCGTAAAAAAGAAAAAAGAAAAAGGGTTATTGCTTTTATTTATTTCTTTTACCTTTTACGTCCACTTTTATTCATTTTAAATCTTTATGAATTTGATTTATATTGACAAAATAGGTTTCTGGCCTTTGAAATAATTATTAATTATAGGCACTTTTACATCAACTTATTTGTTTTATATTTAAAAAAAAAACTTTATTTAGACGATGGAAATAAATATCAAAATGAATCAAATAAAAAAGTAATAATGTGACGTAAACAAATAGGTGCAAAATATCAGTTTATAAACTTTGTAAAATATTTCTATAAAGTCAAGGCGATTGTGTGTGAATTTAATCGAAAGAAACCCATAAAGAGCCGGCACAGGCCACGTGGCCTGATTGAAAAGCAAATCATCAAGGTAACGGAACTCTAACGTGCAAAAAAAATTGCCAAATCACCACGTAACACGTGTCCATTATTTAATTGCTCATCCGCCTATAAAATCTACCCTCTTAGCAATTGAGTTCACACAACTTGAAATTCGAAGTGACAGTATTATTGCGTAAAATTTCTCAAAATTTGAAGCAGGCAGAAATGGCAGATGAAGGAACGGTAACCTGCATAGACATTCTTGTGGCCATTCTTTTGCCTCCTCTTGGTGTCTTCCTTAAATTTGGCTGCCAGGTACATACTTTTTTTTTATAAATAAATTATATTCTTATCTAGAAAGAATAATTTGTCCGTTAATTAATATTATTTTTATGCATTAATATACAATTGCATTGCAAAGACCCGTATAAATTAATTGTTGAAGAAATAAATAATTGAATTTTTCCCAGGTTGAATTCTGGATATGTTTGCTGCTCACCATCTTCGGTTACCTCCCTGGAATCATTTATGCTGTCTATGCCATCACCAAAAACTGATCCTCGGTAAAGTTTCCATTACCTAATTATCAGTTTAGTCTTAAAAATCTTAATCTCCATAATTATTTCAAAAATAATTTCATTAGTCTAATTTTCCCTGATATTTTTGACAGGTGAAGAGATGTGAAGGGTGATAAAGAATTTTTTTTTTCTTTTCTTTTTTCCTGGAAAATGTTGACAGTTTGGTGTTTCTAAATGTCGTGTATGGTTGATTTATATTTTTATCATATGTATTCATTTGTTGTATTCTAAATGTCTTGTGTAGGGTTGATTTATATTCTTACTTTACCCACTAAACCAATGCAATAAATAAATAAATAATAATAATAAATAAAAAAATTAAAATAAAATAAATAAATTGCAACTTGTAATGCACGAACGTGGGGAAGGAAAAAATGAGCGTGTGATGGGACGATGGCAAACTCTCTATTCGTTTAAGCTAAATAATCTACTTTTCACTTATTTTTATGTCATCTCCAACTTTGTTGTGTCGGCAATTACCTAATATGATGTTTCCCCTCAATTTTGCGTGCTTAAGTTGTTAAGCCAAAAAATATGAAAAAGAAAATCTCATAATAAATTGCACAATATGGAAGCATATTTCACAGTTAACAATTTGATAAGACTTGGTCTAAATTAGAACATAAGAAACAAACATTTAATATACTTTTCTTTTAACACGGGGAGTGGACTTTGAGAGTGAGACAAGAACAACTCGTACATGTGAATTTCATCCTTTAAATTGCCACTCTCTACGGCACATGGGGCAATGTGCTTGAGGAGTTTGCGAATTCACCCACTTCAAGATGCAGTGAAGATGAAAGGCATGGTTGCAAGCACCCCAGACTGCACAACGATTAGTCAACGAATAATTATAATCCATCTGGATGCCACATTTTATTAGATAAGTTCTCATACCTACTATATTGCCAAGAAAGCTAACAACAGAGCAAACACGGCAAAAATTTTAATCACCGAAAACAGATGTGAGAAGGTTAGCTTCCCCCAACTACAATAACATATGCAGACAACAACACATCTCGGCTGTGTTTGCTCTCAAAAATATCACTTTTATGCTCCTGTTTTTGCACTCACTCCCAAATTGTGAGTTATAATTCAAAGCTAATCCAGCAAATATCAAAGAAGTGTCCTATCTATTTAGCAGGCTTGGGGTTGCAATAAAAAGCTCCTTTTAGTTGCATTGGACAAGAAGACACCCGGCAGTGGCAATTTAAAACTCATTTTCAACCACACATTCTTAAAATAAAATATTTTCCATGTAAACTCAACATTTTTCTTACTTTTTACCACACATTTACTATTACAAAACCCATTTTATGTAATAATGGCCACCGAACAGAGCCCTAATTTGAAAGTTGATAACAAAAATAAATTTCACAATCAAAAGACTGTATTAAACTTTGTCTCAACTGAAACCCTTGTTTCCAATGCCATTCTAACAACAATCATGCTCATGTATATTCTATTTTACATTAATGTTGACATCCTAACACGTGGCATCCATCATAAACATTGATTTTCACAACACCCTTTGATATAGGAAGGAATGTCAATAACAATGGCCAGATTTTGACACATAGGAAGGAATGTCAATAACAATGTACATATAGTTTAATTCTTCTAACAAGGGTGATTTGAGTCATTATTGAGGTAAAGATGTTGTGAAACATTTTCGTATCATCAAGAAACCAAGTGCTAAAAAAAAGAGAGATAAAAACTGACAATTCGTAAGAGAAAAGCATGCAAATAAAGCAGATCAATAATAAGACAAGATAGCAAGGAAGCAGATGGGAAGGCACAGAAAATGAACCTTTTATTTCAGGAGAATCATCCATTAAAATACAGCAAAATGTACAAAAACTGGCAAAAGTTTTAAGACTTACTCAGAGGGCAATCATCCCCTGGGAGTTTGCAATCAGGGCAACAACCATCAAAAGCCATCCTACAAATGCCACAAGTTTCATCTTGGGCATCCCATGTCCATGAAGCAACGGCATGCCATCTGAGATTTATTAAAGAACAAAATTTCATCTCCTTACATAATGCAAATTTCAGAAAAAGCAATTATTAGAAGGGATATTAAAGAGCATACTCTGTCCATCAGGCCCAACGGTATCCATGAATGACTGGGTGAAGGAAAACCATTTCTCACAGGTCTCAAAAGCAAATTAAGCTATTTTGTAATGAAGTGTACTTTGATGTTAAAAACTGATGGGTGGAACAATTTCGATAAAAATTTCCATGTTGTTGTCAGCCCGATATTCATTTTTACACATTCAACTAAACCTCAGTCCTGACGAATACCAAATCAAAAATTCTGGATTTCCATCTAATGCTGAGGAGCCGCTTTTGGATAGTTATATAAACTTAATAGACCCATACATAGAGTAAAAAGCTCTGACCTTTTTTCTTCTATTCACTGACAGATTAGTTTCAGTAAGTTGAAACATTACATTCTACTATAAATTACTGGTTTCTTCCCACCTAACACTCAACTGCTTGCACCTAAGTCATATAAATCTAGGTTATTTAGGTAAAAAAAATGATTATGAAAGTCAGTATTACATGAAATCACGAAATTAATGCAAAATTATGCCAGGTGATTAAATCATATCCCAAATGATTACGTAGAGCTTCTAGTAATCCTATCATTCAATTGGCTATAGATATCCAGCGCCAAAACAAAACTTTGAATTCTCGCCTAGTGATATTATCTTAAATCGACACTAATTAAATGAATGCATGAATACAGGACTATTTAATTCTGCATTTACATATAAAGGATACGTAAAATCTTGACTTTCATATCTTGTCCCCTGCAAAATCATAACATGATATTTTACAAAACATGTTTTTTTCTTTTAAACAGATGACACACACACACACACACACATAAAACAAAACTTTGAATTCTCGCCTAGTGATATTATCTTAAATCGACACTAATTAAATGAATGCATGAATACAGGACTATTTAATTCTGCATTTACATATAAAGGATACGTAAAATCTTGACTTTCATATCTTGTCCCCTGCAAAATCATAACATGATATTTTACAAAACATGTTTTTTTCTTTTAAACAGATGACACACACACACACACACACATAATGGTTCAAAACATGCTTTTAGAAGTTCAATAAAACTTAAAAAGTTGTGCACAATCTTGAACAACTTATTGAAATTTTCAACACAATCCACATTGACAAATGATCAACATTCCCATCGTTATTGTTATAAATGAGTTATACTAAAAAATTGCTGCCACCTTGAAAGAACTCAAGTTAAAAAGTAACATTCAGAATGACAAGCATATGATCCTTTTCCATTATGCAAAGTTTTGAGAGTAAAGTGAATTAAAGGTCGTATCTGGACGCAAGGACTTGGAATGGAGAAATAATTTTGTATCTATAAATTCGTAAAATCCTCTTGTTCTGAAACTCATTATTTGTCCACACAAAATTTGTATACCAAATTGCATATGCCAAAACTCTCCCTTTCAGTTCGCTCAGACCCCCCTGCCACCAAAAAATCACCCCCCAACTGATTACCCATAATATCACAGAAACCCAGTACATAATAAGCAATCCCAAACTTTTCGAACTCTTCAGAAACCCTTCCATCCTCAATAAAAAATTCTTTAGCGGCATTTCATCAAACACTGACACCCATATTTAACACCATCCACGTTTCTCGCACAATCTCCGTCTCTGTGATCCTCAATTTCATCCAAAATCTAAACTATCCTTCCGTCCATTCCCAAAGTTACAGCCCAGCAATGTACATTCTCTCGTCGCTTGTCCGGCACAGAGAGGAGAGAGTTTATATTTCTAAAGATTTCATAAGATAAAACTTTCCAAATAAAATCTCAAACATTAAACACGACAACCAAAAGCCCTTCAAAAAAAATAAAAAATAAAAATAGACAGATGATTAACGGTGTACCTGATTGGAAATCGGCGCGCTTGCCTTTTCACACTCGACACCCAAAACCCCCCAGTTGTTGTTGTTATTATTATTTTGTTTTGTAATTCAATAATTTCAATGCATGTCAATCGGGCGATTCGGGCGGGTTATAAAAACCCGGAGAGAGAGACAGAGAGAGAGGCGCGAAACCCGAGGTTCTCGAGAAAGCCCAAAATTCTAAGCTTCGTTTCTGTTGAAGGGCCGTGGTGTACAGCAAGAGTGCAGCTCCATTGGCACTCTTGAGGGGCCGTAAACTTGTAGGGTTGTACAAACATAATAATCCAATATTCAAAGGAAGATACTACATGTATTAACATTCTGTACAAACTCTTTTACTTACACTCACAATGGAAAGGTGGGGTCTATATGTTGAAATTATTTAATCCATGTGGGGACCGCATGCATGTGAGAGTGAGTAGAAGTTTTGTCGACTAAAGTTTGTACAAATATCTTAATCTATATTCAAATATCTAAGTGTTTTTAAAATTCAATCAAACTATTTATAAATTAACTAAGCAAAGGTTAAAACTTTTCCAACAATTACTTATATTAATAAAAATTTTATCAGCGATATTTTGAAAATTTTAAGTATTCTGCTTTTAACTCCATTCATTAATCTCTAATCACATCTTTTCTCACATCCCTCCGCTCCCATCCACCTCTTACTTATAGATGTATGACCCTGACTCAATTTTTAAGTGGTCCACTCACCATAGTCGTATCAAGTTGTGTTAAGTTTATAAATTCAATTTTTTTGTTTTCTACAATGTTTGGTGTATATCCTATTTGACAGAAACTAAAAAAATAATAATAATAAAAAAAATAAAAAATAAAAATGGGTTTTTTCATTCAATAAAGTTTTCCCAACACCCTTTTTTCAATCAATAAGGTGGTAAAAAGTGGTGTACAAATAGCAAAATCTTATTATTATTATTTTTTGCATCATATTCACATTTCTTTTAAATATACTCTTGAATAAATCAGTCCATGTTGGGACTTCAATTCTCTCAATCTATCCACCCACGCTAGATATGATTAGGGATCATAATGGAGCTGGATGGGAATTTCAAGGGAAAAAAAAACCATTTTTCAGCTCCCTTATTATTATTATTATTTTTTTTTATGTATATAAAATATGATTCAAATTCAAACTAATATCCAAAAACAAAATATAGGAGGCGGGGAATGAGATTTCTGATAGGACGAGTGTCCGTCTTATTTGGGGCAAGGTGATGCAGGACATGGATGAGATATTTTGCCATCTCTAGGTTCAACCTGATTATAAGGTAAGGGCTTAAAATAAAGTAATTTTACATTTTTTAGTAAAATAATATTACAAGCAAATATAATTTTTTATTTTTTAACTACACATTTTCCATCAATCTATTATTTCAAAGTACATTCTTTAAAAATAATATGGCTCAAGCACACTTGAATTTATGGAAATAGATTTTTCCGTTGTGCATAGCTAACCCGTCTGACAAGTCAATTGTGGAGGAAATGGATTCAATTTGAAATTAATCTACGGCTTGTTTTATAAAGTTATTTTGATACATAATTATAATTCTTAAGCATCAAAATTTTAGTGAAACACATTTCAGACTTCAAGAAAAACACGAAAAACTTGTATCTTATCACTTTAAAATTATAGTGATATATCAAAATTTGATTAGTGAGACGATCAAAGATTACTGAGAGGCGAGTATAATAAATTTGGACTCCTAGCTACTCGGTAACTCTTTCTTTCCATGATTTACTCATGTTTGTTTCATGGTTAGCCCATATATCCTCAGATAATATCTTAATCAACAAAAGGAAACCTTAATTAATTCCCATTAATACAAACTTTAGTATAGCAGCTAGCCGTTGCTATGCTATTCCAAATATTTATCGTCTCTCCTTTCTGTCATCTTAAAAATTCACATAAATACATTTGTTCTCAATTAATACCCATATTTTCTCTACATGAATAAAAAATTGTGGGTTTTATAAAATGAGTTTGATGAACAATAAATTTTAGAAAATCGGGTCAAACAAGGACTAAGTATTAAACAAATGAGCGATCCTTTGGTTTGTGGATTAGAACTAGTTCAGTCACAAAATTGGATATATATTGTCACATGAAGAGTTGAGGGAACCTAACTCATTTGAATAAAAAGTTAGAGACCTAAATATTACAAAAATTGAATATAGTTTCCTATGGTGTAAGTATATCACTAATATGCTTATAATCACTTCATAAACTTAATTATTAATCTTTTCCATGGAATCCAAAAATTGAATAGAGTGCATCAAGGGCAATAATTCAGTTGATACTGACAATCAATGAATTATTACCAAAAATTTGGTGTTTCTTACAATTAAACAAATTAAATTCAAATATCATGAAAATGAATTTCAGTATCTTATTCAACACTATATATAGCAATGGATGCCTGGAAGAAGAAACCACAGATCAAAATATGACAAGGAAGAAAGTGAAACTCGCTTTCATCACTAATGATTCAGCAAGAAAAGCAACATTCAAGAAAAGAAGGAAGGGTTTGATGAAGAAGGTGAGTGAACTCAGTACCCTTACGAGTCTCAGCCAGAGGTTTGGCCGGACAATCGTGGTGTCCATCGCATGTTGGCGCAGTTCAAGAGGATGCCGGAGATGGAACAAAGCAAGAAAATGGTGAATCAAGAGAGTTTCACCAGGCAGAGAATCGCCAAAGCTAGTGAGCAGCTTAAGAAGCAGCACAAGGAGAATAGAGAAAAGGAAATTACTCAGATTATGTACCAGTGTTTAACAGGCAAAGGGCTGCAGAATTTGATGATGCCAGATTTGAATGATCTCGGGTGGTTGGTTGATCAGAACTTGAAGGAGATTAACAACAGAATTGACGAGCTCAAAAAAACTACTGCTCCACCTCCTCCTCCACAGCAGGTTGCTTTATCTCTTAATGGATGCTCAACTGAAGATTGCAGGTGTTAGAAGTGATTATCGAACCTTTGAAAATGGATTAAGTTGTTCAACTCGTTGATATTCCAACTAAAATTTGCTTTAACCTTTTGAATGGATAAGAAGGGGTTGATTATTAGAGCCTCGACACTATCGAATGGTTCATCTTATGTCCTCTTATCAAATTAAAATGACACATTCTTTCGTCCCAACTTCTAAGCACCATAAGGGTATCTCCAAATGAGACCAAAATACCAAAACGCACAAAATTTTGGTGTAAAATGTCATCAATGTAGTACCAAACTTTGCACCATTTTGTGGTGAATAGTATTACACTATATTTTGCACCAAATGGTGTTTTCTTTTGCCAGGCAAAGTATTATTATTATTATTATTATTATTATTATTATTATTATTATTATTATGTGCATTTAAAATAAATTTTATTAATGTAAAAATAATAGTTAATGAATTAATTAAAATAAGTATAAAAAAATTTAAAATATAAGAAACATGATTATTAAAGTTAACACGAAATATATTAGAACAACCACATATATTTTTATATTTATTAATGAATTTAATATTTTAGTTAATTTAACGTAATTATTTACTTAGCAATTTATATATATGTAAAATAATTAAAGAAATGAATTTTCAAATAAATAAATTGTTAAGAATAAAAGAAATGAAGAAGATGAAAAAACACTATTTATTTGGTGTAATTGTTGAAGATAATTTTTAGTTTGGTGCAATATTTGAAGTAAAATAGTGCAAAACTTACCTCAAATTTTGATGTAGGGTTGGAGATGGTCTAAGGTTCATCTTCTATTCTAACGTCAAGTATCATTTTTATATATGAGAGTTTTTGGGTTTGGGCTCAACAGGATTGAGATTATTAAAGCAGTGATATAAGAGCCTGTTTGTGAGTGATTTTGAGAATTGATTTTTTGACTGTTAGGAGAAAAGTGTGGTCCACCTATGAGAGAAGAAATCAAATACGACGATTGAAATAGTGAAATAACGATAAAAAAATCACTCCCAAACAAACTGTAAAACTCTATAAAAATATTTAAATAAAAAAAGCTAAATACCCAGGGTCAAATTCAGGCCCAAATCCAAGGGAGCCAAGTGGCACTCCTATTGGGGGGTGGGGGTTCCTGGCCAAACAGCACCCTTCTATTTAAATTTGAAAAAATGATTTTGAATTTTAATAGTCAGTCATTCCTTCTCAAACTTGACCCCCACCAAAGCGTAAAAAAGAAAAAAGAAAAAGGGTTATTGCTTTTATTTATTTCTTTTACCTTTTACGTCCACTTTTATTCATTTTAAATCTTTATGAATTTGATTTATATTGACAAAATAGGTTTCTGGCCTTTGAAATAATTATTAATTATAGGCACTTTTACATCAACTTATTTGTTTTATATTTAAAAAAAAAACTTTATTTAGACGATGGAAATAAATATCAAAATGAATCAAATAAAAAAGTAATAATGTGACGTAAACAAATAGGTGCAAAATATCAGTTTATAAACTTTGTAAAATATTTCTATAAAGTCAAGGCGATTGTGTGTGAATTTAATCGAAAGAAACCCATAAAGAGCCGGCACAGGCCACGTGGCCTGATTGAAAAGCAAATCATCAAGGTAACGGAACTCTAACGTGCAAAAAAAATTGCCAAATCACCACGTAACACGTGTCCATTATTTAATTGCTCATCCGCCTATAAAATCTACCCTCTTAGCAATTGAGTTCACACAACTTGAAATTCGAAGTGACAGTATTATTGCGTAAAATTTCTCAAAATTTGAAGCAGGCAGAAATGGCAGATGAAGGAACGGTAACCTGCATAGACATTCTTGTGGCCATTCTTTTGCCTCCTCTTGGTGTCTTCCTTAAATTTGGCTGCCAGGTACATACTTTTTTTTTATAAATAAATTATATTCTTATCTAGAAAGAATAATTTGTCCGTTAATTAATATTATTTTTATGCATTAATATACAATTGCATTGCAAAGACCCGTATAAATTAATTGTTGAAGAAATAAATAATTGAATTTTTCCCAGGTTGAATTCTGGATATGTTTGCTGCTCACCATCTTCGGTTACCTCCCTGGAATCATTTATGCTGTCTATGCCATCACCAAAAACTGATCCTCGGTAAAGTTTCCATTACCTAATTATCAGTTTAGTCTTAAAAATCTTAATCTCCATAATTATTTCAAAAATAATTTCATTAGTCTAATTTTCCCTGATATTTTTGACAGGTGAAGAGATGTGAAGGGTGATAAAGAATTTTTTTTTTCTTTTCTTTTTTCCTGGAAAATGTTGACAGTTTGGTGTTTCTAAATGTCGTGTATGGTTGATTTATATTTTTATCATATGTATTCATTTGTTGTATTCTAAATGTCTTGTGTAGGGTTGATTTATATTCTTACTTTACCCACTAAACCAATGCAATAAATAAATAAATAATAATAATAAATAAAAAAATTAAAATAAAATAAATAAATTGCAACTTGTAATGCACGAACGTGGGGAAGGAAAAAACGAGCGTGTGATGGGACAATGGCAAACTAATCTTTATTCTCTTTTCGTTTAAGCTAAATAATCTACTTTTCACTTATTTTTATGTCATCTCCAACTTTGTTGTGTCGGCAATTACCTAATATGATGTTTCCCCTCAATTTTGCGTGCTTAAGTTGTTAAGCCAAAAAATATGAAAAAGAAAATCTCATAATAAATTGCACAATATGGAAGCATATTTCACAGTTAACAATTTGATAAGACTTGGTCTAAATTAGAACATAAGAAACATTTAATATACTTTTCTTTTAACACGGGGAGTGGACTTTGAGAGTGAGACAAGAACAACTCGTACATGTGAATTTCATCCTTTAAATTGCCACTCTCTACGGCACATGGGGCAATGTGCTTGAGGAGTTTGCGAATTCACCCACTTCAAGATGCAGTGAAGATGAAAGGCATGGTTGCAAGCACCCCAGACTGCACAACGATTAGTCAACGAATAATTATAATCCATCTGGATGCCACATTTTATTAGATAAGTTCTCATACCTACTATATTGCCAAGAAAGCTAACAACAGAGCAAACACGGCAAAAATTTTAATCACCGAAAACAGATGTGAGAAGGTTAGCTTCCCCCAACTACAATAACATATGCAGACAACAACACATCTCGGCTGTGTTTGCTCTCAAAAATATCACTTTTATGCTCCTGTTTTTGCACTCACTCCCAAATTGTGAGTTATAATTCAAAGCTAATCCAGCAAATATCAAAGAAGTGTCCTATCTATTTAGCAGGCTTGGGGTTGCAATAAAAAGCTCCTTTTAGTTGCATTGGACAAGAAGACACCCGGCAGTGGCAATTTAAAACTCATTTTCAACCACACGTTCTTAAAATAAAATATTTTCCATGTAAACTCAACATTTTTCTTACTTTTTACCACACATTTACTATTACAAAACCCATTTTATGTAATAATGGCCACCGAACAGAGCCCTAATTTGAAAGTTGATAACAAAAATAAATTTCACAATCAAAAGACTGTATTAAACTTTGTCTCAACTGAAACCCTTGTTTCCAATGCCATTCTAACAACAATCATGCTCATGTATATTCTATTTTACATTAATGTTGACATCCTAACACGTGGCATCCATCATAAACATTGATTTTCACAACACCCTTTGATATAGGAAGGAATGTCAATAACAATGTACATATAGTTTAATTCTTCTAACAAGGGTGATTTGAGTCATTATTGAGGTAAAGATGTTGTGAAAAATTTTCGTATCATCAAGAAACCAAGTGCTAAAAAAAAGAGAGATAAAAACTGACAATTCGTAAGAGAAAAGCATGCAAATAAAGCAGATCAATAATAAGACAAGATAGCAAGGAAGCAGATGGGAAGGCACAGAAAATGAACCTTTTATTTCAGGAGAATCATCCATTAAAATACAGCAAAATGTACAAAAACTGGCAAAAGTTTTAAGACTTACTCAGAGGGCAATCATCCCCTGGGAGTTTGCAATCAGGGCAACAACCATCAAAAGCCATCCTACAAATGCCACAAGTTTCATCTTGGGCATCCCATGTCCATGAAGCAACGGCATGCCATCTGAGATTTATTAAAGAACAAAATTTCATCTCCTTACATAATGCAAATTTCAGAAAAAGCAATTATTAGAAGGGATATTAAAGAGCATACTCTGTCCATCAGGCCCAACGGTATCCATGAATGACTGGGTGAAGGAAAACCATTTCTCACAGGTCTCAAAAGCAAATTAAGCTATTTTGTAATGAAGTGTACTTTGATGTTAAAAACTGATGGGTGGAACAATTTCGATAAAAATTTCCATGTTGTTGTCAGCCCGATATTCATTTTTACACATTCAACTAAACCTCAGTCCTGACGAATACCAAATCAAAAATTCTGGATTTCCATCTAATGCTGAGGAGCCGCTTTTGGATAGTTATATAAACTTAATAGACCCATACATAGAGTAAAAAGCTCTGACCTTTTTTCTTCTATTCACTGACAGATTAGTTTCAGTAAGTTGAAACATTACATTCTACTATAAATTACTGGTTTCTTCCCACCTAACACTCAACTGCTTGCACCTAAGTCATATAAATCTAGGTTATTTAGGTAAAAAAAATGATTATGAAAGTCAGTATTACATGAAATCACGAAATTAATGCAAAATTATGCCAGGTGATTAAATCATATCCCAAATGATTACGTAGAGCTTCTAGTAATCCTATCATTCAATTGGCTATAGATATCCAGCGCCAAAACAAAACTTTGAATTCTCGCCTAGTGATATTATCTTAAATCGACACTAATTAAATGAATGCATGAATACAGGACTATTTAATTCTGCATTTACATATAAAGGATACGTAAAATCTTGACTTTCATATCTTGTCCCCTGCAAAATCATAACATGATATTTTACAAAACATGTTTTTTTCTTTTAAACAGATGACACACACACACACACACACACACACACACACACATAATGGTTCAAAACATGCTTTTAGAAGTTCAATAAAACTTAAAAAGTTGTGCACAATCTTGAACAACTTATTGAAATTTTCAACACAATCCACATTGACAAATGATCAACATTCCCATCGTTATTGTTATAAATGAGTTATACTAAAAAATTGCCGTCACCTTGAAAGAACTCAAGTTAAAAAGTAACATTCAGAATGACAAGCATATGATCCTTTTCCATTATGCAAAGTTTTGAGAGTAAAGTGAATTAAAGGTCGTATCTGGACGCAAGGACTTGGAATGGAGAAATAATTTTGTATCTATAAATTCGTAAAATCCTCTTGTTCTGAAACTCATTATTTGTCCACACAAAATTTGTATACCAAATTGCATATGCCAAAACTCTCCCTTTCAGTTCGCTCAGACCCCCCTGCCACCAAAAAATCACCCCCCAACTGATTACCCATAATATCACAGAAACCCAGTACATAATAAGCAATCCCAAACTTTTCGAACTCTTCAGAAACCCTTCCATCCTCAATAAAAAATTCTTTAGCGGCATTTCATCAAACACTGACACCCATATTTAACACCATCCACGTTTCTCGCACAATCTCCGTCTCTGTGATCCTCAATTTCATCCAAAATCTAAACTATCCTTCCGTCCATTCCCAAAGTTACAGCCCAGCAATGTACATTCTCTCGTCGCTTGTCCGGCACAGAGAGGAGAGAGTTTATATTTCTAAAGATTTCATAAGATAAAACTTTCCAAATAAAATCTCAAACATTAAACACGACAACCAAAAGCCCTTCAAAAAAAATAAAAAATAAAAATAGACAGATGATTAACGGTGTACCTGATTGGAAATCGGCGCGCTTGCCTTTTCACACTCGACACCCAAAACCCCCCAGTTGTTGTTGTTATTATTATTTTGTTTTGTAATTCAATAATTTCAATGCATGTCAATCGGGCGATTCGGGCGGGTTATAAAAACCCGGAGAGAGAGACAGAGAGAGAGGCGCGAAACCCGAGGTTCTCGAGAAAGCCCAAAATTCTAAGCTTCGTTTCTGTTGAAGGGCCGTGGTGTACAGCAAGAGTGCAGCTCCATTGGCACTCTTGAGGGGCCGTAAACTTGTAGGGTTGTACAAACATAATAATCCAATATTCAAAGGAAGATACTACATGTATTAACATTCTGTACAAACTCTTTTACTTACACTCACAATGGAAAGGTGGGGTCTATATGTTGAAATTATTTAATCCATGTGGGGACCGCATGCATGTGAGAGTGAGTAGAAGTTTTGTCGACTAAAGTTTGTACAAATATCTTAATCTATATTCAAATATCTAAGTGTTTTTAAAATTCAATCAAACTATTTATAAATTAACTAAGCAAAGGTTAAAACTTTTCCAACAATTACTTATATTAATAAAAATTTTATCAGCGATATTTTGAAAATTTTAAGTATTCTGCTTTTAACTCCATTCATTAATCTCTAATCACATCTTTTCTCACATCCCTCCGCTCCCATCCACCTCTTACTTATAGATGTATGACCCTGACTCAATTTTTAAGTGGTCCACTCACCATAGTCGTATCAAGTTGTGTTAAGTTGCCCCCCAGGGCACTTCTCCACTGGCAAAGGACGGACGCTGTCAAACCTGGCAGAGCAGAGGTCGTGAGTTCGAAACATGGGGCTCTTGGAAGGCAAGGATTTATTCTTGTATAAATTCAATTTTTTTGTTTTCTACAATGTTTGGTGTATATCCTATTTGACAGAAACTAAAAAAATAATAATAATAAAAAAAATAAAAAATAAAAATGGGTTTTTTCATTCAATAAAGTTTTCCCAACACCCTTTTTTCAATCAATAAGGTGGTAAAAAGTGGTGTACAAATAGCAAAATCTTATGATTATTATTTTTTGCATCATATTCACATTTCTTTTAAATATACTCTTGAATAAATCAGTCCCTGCTCTCAATCTATCCACCCACGCTAGATATGATTAGGGATCATAATGGAGCTGGATGGGAATTTCAAGGGAAAAAAAAACCATTTTTCAGCTCCCTTATTATTATTATTATTTTTTTTTTTATGTATATAAAATATGATTCAAATTCAAACTAATATCCAAAAACAAAATATAGGAGGCGGGGAATGAGATTTCTGATAGGACGAGTGTCCGTCTTATTTGGGGCAAGGTGATGCAGGACATGGATGAGATATTTTGCCATCTCTAGGTTCAACCTGATTATAAGGTAAGGGCTTAAAATAAAGTAATTTTACATTTTTTAGTAAAATAATATTACAAGCAAATATAATTTTTTATTTTTTAACTACACATTTTCCATCAATCTATTATTTCAAAGTACATTCTTTAAAAATAATATGGCTCAAGCACACTTGAATTTATGGAAATAGATTTTTCCGTTGTGCATAGCTAACCCGTCTGACAAGTCAAATGTGGAGGAAATGGATTCAATTTGAAATTAATCTACGGCTTGTTTTATAAAGTTATTTTGATACATAATTATAATTCTTAAGCATCAAAATTTTAGTGAAACACATTTCAGACTTCAAGAAAAACACGAAAAACTTGTATCTTATCACTTTAAAATTATAGTGATATATCAAAATTTGATTAGTGAGACGATCAAAGATTACTGAGAGGCGAGTATAATAAATTTGGACTCCTAGCTACTCGGTAACTCTTTCTTTCCATGATTTACTCATGTTTGTTTCATGGTTAGCCCATATATCCTCAGATAATATCTTAATCAACAAAAGGAAACCTTAATTAATTCCCATTAATACAAACTTTAGTATAGCAGCTAGCCGTTGCTATGCTATTCCAAATATTTATCGTCTCTCCTTTCTGTCATCTTAAAAATTCACATAAATACATTTGTTCTCAATTAATACCCATATTTTCTCTACATGAATAAAAAATTGTGGGTTTTATAAAATGAGTTTGATGAACAATAAATTTTAGAAAATCGGGTCAAACAAGGACTAAGTATTAAACAAATGAGCGATCCTTTGGTTTGTGGATTAGAACTAGTTCAGTCACAAAATTGGATATATATTGTCACATGAAGAGTTGAGGGAACCTAACTCATTTGAATAAAAAGTTAGAGACCTAAATATTACAAAAATTGAATATAGTTTCCTATGGTGTAAGTATATCACTAATATGCTTATAATCACTTCATAAACTTAATTATTAATCTTTTCCATGGAATCCAAAAATTGAATAGAGTGCATCAAGGGCAATAATTCAGTTGATACTGACAATCAATGAATTATTACCAAAAATTTGGTGTTTCTTACAATTAAACAAATTAAATTCAAATATCATGAAAATGAATTTCAGTATCTTATTCAACACTATATATAGCAATGGATGCCTGGAAGAAGAAACCACAGATCAAAATATGACAAGGAAGAAAGTGAAACTCGCTTTCATCACTAATGATTCAGCAAGAAAAGCAACATTCAAGAAAAGAAGGAAGGGTTTGATGAAGAAGGTGAGTGAACTCAGTACCCTTACGAGTCTCAGCCAGAGGTTTGGCCGGACAATCGTGGTGTCCATCGCATGTTGGCGCAGTTCAAGAGGATGCCGGAGATGGAACAAAGCAAGAAAATGGTGAATCAAGAGAGTTTCACCAGGCAGAGAATCGCCAAAGCTAGTGAGCAGCTTAAGAAGCAGCACAAGGAGAATAGAGAAAAGGAAATTACTCAGATTATGTACCAGTGTTTAACAGGCAAAGGGCTGCAGAATTTGATGATGCCAGATTTGAATGGTCAGCAAATAAATTCTTTTGGGCATGGGGATGAAATGATGCTGCCATTTTGTGAGAATAATCACAATACAATGTGGTCTAATGCCTTCTTCCCTTGATGATCATCTTCTGGATTTCAAAAAATTTCCTTTTCCAAGTCTGATGATGCATTTACACGCTTTAAAGTCAGAATTCTACGTGTTTTTTTGTCCCTAATTTTGATACTTTTGCTTCTTGTTTTTTAAGTTAATGTGAAAAACATTTTGATTTCGGATATGATTGAGTTAAATTTTCATTAACTTGTATATTTTGCCTTTTTCTTGTCAATTTTTCAGCTTTATATTTTTTAAATCGTTATAGAAAATATGGTATCCAAACTTCAATTTTTTTCAGCTTTATAATTTTGTAACACTTGCATTCAAGTTAGTCGACTTACATCCTGACTATGCGACAACCATGTCGAAGATTTTAATTTCAGTGACGCTTAGCACTTAGATCTCAACTTTCGCCAATAAATTGTAAAAATGTGAGTCCTTGGTTTTTTGATATCGAATTAAGACCTATCATTCACTTGGTATTGAGTTGGGAAATGGTATTGACCTTTCAAGAATCCAGAGTTACATCAAAACCTATAGTAATTGTTCTTAAAAGGAGACCAGCATACTATCCTCATTTCTATCTATTTGCCAAAACTTTGATGTCCTATATTTTCCATGTAGTTGATTTCTTGATTTTGTCCAATCATTAATAATTTCAATTTTTGCTTTAATAGTCTATTTATATAACACTAAGTCAAATAGAATTTTTTCATTAGGGCCTGTTTAATGTAGATAGTGGGAAATTGATTTTTTTTTTTTTTGAAAAATATGTAGTTAAAAAGTAGAAAATATTATGGATTCAAAATTATTTTAGAATTTAAGAAAAAAAATAAATTTTAAACAATCTGTACCAAACAATGACTACATGTCCTTACTATTTATGTATTACCATTTTTTTTAGTCTGCCTTCCTCTAGACTCTTCTTAGGGGTGGTAAGTATAATTTAATTTGTGTTAATAGATTCAACAGAGTATCACGGGATTATTGAACATTAATGTGAAGATTGACA